TGTTCAAGGTAATTCCCGATGTGTGAACAAGAAGTAGATATTCTGAAATTCATAGTAATATTAGGCACATTGTAGCATATATAACTCGTTTGCCTGAAGCAACGCTATCTTCAAAAATCAAAATAATAAAGCAAGATAAGAAGTGTATGTTCTTTCTATAAGAGCCATTCTCTGTGCTGTAAATATACCTGACATTTCCATACAAAACGCAAGTAAGCCGCCACATATCACCAGTAAAGCGATTTGCACAGGTGCATAATGCCCGTTCAAATACAGTATACTATCGTAGGAGAGTTCCGCTCCTAAAATATTGTATCACATAGCATCAAAAGCCAGTACAGCTGATTTAATTCTTCATTAAATTATCAAAAGCAAACCTTCAAATACAATTATAAGTGGTACAATCGGGATAAGCATCCAAGGTTGCACATGGGCTACCATATCTAGAGGATGGTTCAGCGCCTGCTCTTCTCTTTGCATGACCAGTTGTGACACAGTCCACCTACATATGAAAGACTTCTTCGAGAGCATTGGACATAAGGTTTTTTCAGGACTCGAGCAGGTGTTTTTCCTCTTGAAGGGGGCATTCTGCACTTTCACTACTTCCCATCAACGACGCACTTTGACTGGTATTACTCCATGACTTTACGAGATTCCCAGATTTCTATTCGATGGCTCGACAAGACGGCCCAAGCCAAACTGAGCCTCGAGCATTTCAGAAATCATTCCTTTGCATTCCTCACAACATATAGTTGAAAAATCATCATTTAGCAGGGGGAAAAAGGTGTCGTACTTTGAATTCTGAGGAGCGAGGTTCTACTTGGCCGATGGGTGAGAGTCCTACGGTTAACAGGTTTTAGATATCCCTCTCGACTTAGGGGGGGGGGTCGTCTACTGAGAAACGATTTGCTTTGGCGAAGTCATTCTTTCAAATCCAATAAGTGCTAATAAACCTATAAGAAACGATAATTAATGACAAGACGAAACATTACCGGACTCCTGTACATGAGGCTGCAAGCTCTACCAGTAATAGCCCTGTGAGGTCCAATTGAGACGAGTGCCATGTGAACAAGAAAAGACCGCTAGCAATGAACGCAGCTTCCAAACCGAGTGTCGGACGCCACCTGAACAATGAACCATTAGTTTGATACACTTGTAGCACTGTCTGGGCTGTGAAACACTTTGGCTTATAATGCCATTGGAGAATAGCATCGCTTGGGTGAACATTCATCTAAGGCTGCGTTCATGCTTTGCGTCAGCTTTTTGCGGGTAGTTTTGAACTTTTCGCGGGCAATCGCTCAAGACGCTGCCGTACGCTTGAAATGTTGACGCAAAGTATGAAAGCAGATTACAGCTACAACAGAGAATCGGGGAACCCCGACAATCGTGGATTCCACAAAAAGCCAGTCGGATTTATTCCCGCTGATTCTCCAACTCTCCAGATTGACAGTACAGTTTCCTTCTCGCGGAATCTCCTGTCAAAGTGCGTAGCATAGGCCATTCGGACATGCTACATGTCCTTCGCTCCAGAACCCAATTTAGTCAACGTGAAATGGCGCTGTGTGTCAAGCCAACTAGCCAGTAGACTGCTAGTTTGTGCAAGGCGCCATGACCCGGATGGCGCGAACTGCAAGGGTGCCGGTGGATAAGCGCCACCTTTTGCCTTGGATCGAATCACATCCCGGTCAGTAAGCGTTTAAACCGTGTTCGGTACCAGACCCATCTGGCAACCTTGAGTATTAGCCAGCGACTTCCTGGGCTAAACATGCATCTGCGAGCCATCAAAGTTCTGAATGGAAGTCAAGAGCCTGGCGCATTCCGAGGAGCGGTTGATCAGGAACAAAGAGCGCTTTACTGTTGATCCTCGGTCTCAAAGCACTTTGAAGTCAAGCTCGCGGCACGTAGCGTGGGGGGGGGGGGTGGTAGCTGTCACATTCCATCTCCTTTCGCACTGGACTTGATGCAAATTATTATGATTGACGGTTACCGGGTAACAAGTAGACAAAAAAAAACTAGAAGGCAAAATGACCTCTCCAATCGTAAGAGTAGCGAGAATGCCACAATGAATAGAATAGAACTACTCTTTGCCATTGTGTACAAACTGACGGTGACATATTCGAGCGCCCAGTTTGATAGCCCAATATCAAGCGATGCACATATACCAATGGGCGCGAGCCATCTGAAAAAATTCTGAAAACTGTCATAAGAAGGGAATCTAAGCGCTACTCCAGTATGGTAGGGCTTTTTGGGAAGAAAAGCAGATCGAGTCTGTTATTTGTTGGGAGAGTTTACCACGCTAATGACAAGAGTACCCGTTAGTGACGTCACAAGACACGTCATTAACGTGTTGCATGACGTCATTGACATGTGATCCACCTCACTGTTGGTACAGTCCTATTCGCCGCGGACGCTGGATCATGAACGGGTTCTGGGTTTGGCGCCAAGTCGTTCTCCACCAATTGTGGGAGCTGGCAGGCGACGACAGTTGGTGGTAAACTTGCTGGAGCCGTGTCAAACCCACCACTGATGACACGCCTAAGCGTCCGCGGTAGACAAGATGTAAGAGTGCATTCATACTTTGCGATTCGAGCGACGAGGAAAGTATAGATACCGATCCAGCGTTTTCAGTGCCCACCAGCATTGTGAGCGTTTGGCAGCCCTTCCAGACTGGGAAAGTATAGGTACGCTAAAAACGCTGGTGCAAGCTATGGACGTATTCTAAAGTATTTGGTTGTGTACCTGTGCTGCATCGGGGCTAATGCCGTTTGGACTCCAGAAATTTCGGCACCGAGCCCATTTTTAAATTGCCTAAGTCACCAAATCCGCTAAAAACTTGTATATAGGGGTAGTTTAACATCCTGATTACGAATATGACATTCACTCTTGTCGCTGGCGCCAAGAGAGGACACTACGATTACCTCCTGGGCTCAGCCTTAGCAGAGCGCAGGATAATCGTAGTGTCATCCATTAGCGCCAGCGCCAAAAATGAATGTCATATTCGTGATCAGGATGTTGAATTACCCCTATATACAAGTTTTTAGCGGCGGTGACTTAGGCAATTTAAAAATGAGCTCGGTGCCGAAATATATCGGTGCCACATTTTTGTGTAGAGCAGCCCAGGCATTTAAAATCACGACTCTTTTTGCAGAGATGAATCGGCTCACCCACCCGCAATATACTCCCTCTGGAAAATCTCACCTCCCAGCTCATCTTTCAAGGAAACGCCCACCCTACAGAAATAGTGCAAGAGCACTTTAAATGAAACCTCAGCTGTTCTTTCATATGAAGTCGTATACGTTTCTTATGAAGAACTTCGTATAAGAAACGTATGCATATGGCGGCAACATATTTCACAATATAATGCCAGCAAACCACGAATAAAGGCAATTTATAATTCTGCAAATAAAACCGTATAATTTGAATGGCCATTAAAAATATCGATTAGAATGGAACACGTTTACCTTTATAAACCATTTTTGGTAAAATGTAAGCCCAATCGATAGCGGGTAATATAGCAGCGCTATTAGCAAGATTTTCAGTACCATTTTATTTTGGAACTATAGACCAGTCACAATAAGTCCATTGTTCAATGGAGGCTGAAAAAGAAGATCAAAAGTTTAATCGATGAAATAAAGACGAATGACGGCTTTTGTGCGGAAGGCGGCTTCTCCAGAGGAAAGAGAAAAGGAATCTGCTTGTTCGGACGTTCTTTGGCCCTGATAAGATCTGGTAGAACTGCAACGTTGTCAATCAAAACACGCATGAGCCGATGCCTGTTGTCAATAGCAGCGCCGCATGGTTGCTGTGACGTAATGCGGATCCACGAATACGCTAAAAATTAATGGAAATCGAAGGAAACCGGAAGTGAGATAGGAAATAGCATTGCTTTTCAGGAAGGGGCCGCATGATTCGTTCGCATGCCATTGACGTGTAGTGGTACGTCATGCAGCACGTCTTTCAAGTGAGATAACTCGTCCGGATCGCTGAGCTGTCGGGTTTTTATGGTTGGCGCTAAGGTTGTTACCGTAAGCGCTTATGTAGTTGGGAGGTTGTGCAGGTGGTTCAGTGTATTTACACGAGTGGCGAGAACAATAACAATGAATGTAAGGTAGGTCTTAAATGGCAATTTGTCACTCATGTATACCCTTGGTGGACGAAAAGAGGAAGAATAATGCCCTTGTCTAAGAACTTGTCTGCATGTATCAGCTTGACTCCGAATATCATGTAGAAGGCGGACTTGAAGAGGGGTCGTCTCAGACTATGTACGAGGCAACGATGAAAGGTGGGATCGTCGTCAGAGACGACGATAGGGGTGAGGCACCAGTGCCGTTGGTCTACTTGTGTATTCCTTCACCAAAAAGGCTAAGGCTCAGAGTACAAACGACCGAAGTCGCTTAGGTATAGTTCTGCAGAGAAGAAATATGGAGGCATTAGCCGAGTAGTCCCCTCCCATCCCCACCGCGTTAGCACCTTGACATTTGCATCGTCTGCTGTAGCCTATTTCCATTACGAAGGGGCGTGTCAGGCGAGATGAGTTTGGAGCGGTTTAGAGCCACCAGTTGCTGTCGTGTACCCACTTCAGCAACGAGCAAAGAATGAGTTTGGCGTCGTGGCACAATGATACTGTCAGACACGCCCTTCATCCGCTGCGAAAGAGTGTTAGCTGAGACTCTCAAGTAACAACTGAGAAAATGCAATCGACTCGTGATTCGTTCAAGTTGACCTGCCTTTGATATGCATGGCGTGACGTGTCGTGACATATACTCGAAATCCCTGAGATTGGGTAGGCGGAGCATTCGAACACTGTAAGGAACTGGTTACTAGTGGAATATTCCAGTCTGGGACAACTGTCATCTTGTTCTGTATTGGACAGAGACACGACAACGATTGTGGTGGAGATGGGAAAATTTCGACATCCAAAAGCGATAGACGCCTTCGAGGATAAGTTGAAAAATGCGGTCACGCCTACCCGATCTCAGGGATCTCGAGTGTACGTTCACGCTTAATACACAGCATCCCGGAGTTGGGAGGGCGTTTCATTTGAATATGGCGTAGGATGCGTTTTTTTGTTGCAATATTCCATGGGCTTGCCTGTCTGACAACTCGGCCATGGCGTCAGCGACACCCTAAATGGGGTCGTTCAGGGCTGTTTCTGATTTTTCTTTTTTCTTTATGTGGGGTATTTATGAAGTACAGGTCATGATTGAGTAATTGAAGGCAGTTGGCACTATAATTTGTTACTTGGCCTAGAATGCTAGTAGGGCGCTATATAGTGGGGGAAAATGGAGAAAAACGTTCTTAATGACTCAAAAAGCACGTCCGGACGAGTTTCGCGCAGCCACCTTGGCTCAGATAACCGCTGCGGGCAGGTATCGACTGCGCGTATGTACTCATATATCCATGCAGCATCACAGCCGTTTCATAAGTCCCTTCGCTTTATTTTTTACTTAGCGCATGAAGCAACACGAGCATCCTCAGGTACGGTCGTCTATCTGAGGGCGGACTGACGCGGTCGGCGCTCGGGTCGGCATGTTGTAGCTTGACAGGGCCCTATGAAAGTAGGTTCCCTGGGAAGGGGGCTACGCAGCGTCTGCGGAATTCCGTCTTTCCAGGCGTATTTAATCCTTCTCGTCTTGGGTGATTACCGTGCCAACTGCCTTTAAATTGAGCGCACCCATTTGCACGCTGTGCAGTTGATTTCTTATTGCGTCCAGGTATATTAAGATTGAATCGAAGACGAAAAGCACAGTTGTTGGTCTTGGGTGGTGCATTCTCTTGCTTCTCATCGACCATAGCCGATCTCCTGTGAAGACTTGTAAAGCCTTGTAAAGCTATGCAACAAGCTGACACGAGCTTTATTTGTACTTGTGAAAACTTAGATTCTCCATAGATCTCTGGGATAGACCTAAAATTTGACAGGGATTAGCGAAAGAAGCTGCTCCTGAAAGTGTGAAAAGGCCCCTCCTACGCAAAAGGTGCAAGGTAATGAGGATGAACAATAGAAGACCCCGAACTGGTGACATACTATTCCGAAATAATTCAGTGGCTGTTTTGGGTTGTCGGTTTCCCATCGACCTATTGATTGTCGATGGGATCAGGGCGCGTCATGCGGGTGATCCACACGTTTCAGAAAAGTGCGCGGAGGCCGTCCTTCACACTCGGTCCTGGTCGTCTTTGAGTCGAGGTTGAGCCAATAGTGATTCAGTGCAGGATTCTTGCAGCTGTGCTCTACTTGTCCGAACCCTCCACTGTCCCCCTAGTCACATGGCTGAAGCTTTCGAAAATATCATTCCATTGAATATGAACACTACACCGGCAACTCTGTCGGGGGGATGCGAAGGGAACGTTCCCGTCACATCCCCTAAACCACTTGTTGTGTAACCAACTTCCCACGTTTACTGGGACAGGCATCAATGCATCAAAGATGTTGGGTGACAACTTCACCCAATATCTTTGATGCATTGATATCTTCTCAATAACCCTCCCTACTGCTAATATTTTGACTGCTTCTCGGATGCTGTACTAAACATCGGGTGTGAGGTAAGCAAAATAGGACGGGGGTTCTAAGTTGGGCCGAGGAGAAAGAACGGCTCAATGGGTGTATCATTTCGTTTGTGTTAAATATCGTAGGTTCAGATGTCAGTTGTGCTAAGTAACAAAATGCCCGTCTTATTGGAGCACCAGTATTGGAGCACCAGTCGCCTCGCCGGCTGACGCCGGCGCGCCTCCTTCTGATCCGGCCCGGGCTTCTCGATAAATACATCATCCCGCTATTTTGACTATTACTGAGTATGGAGTGGTACTAGAAAGCGTCGATTATGGGCACAGGCAAGAGAATAGCTGGGGAAAGAATATGTGGCGAACCGTTCCCGTCCGGCCAACTTGGGCCGTATCACAGGAGGAGGAGCGTGGCATCAGCCGCCGAGCTGACTGGAAATCTAATACTTATGACGACCGGTGGTTAAGAGTATGGCAGAATACGCGCTAAAACTCAGTAAGAATAAGTACGTCGTGCGCTCCACCCACTGGGAGCGGTTACAACACACCACAGACACACTCAACTCTTGCCATATATCCAACAGCTGAGGTCCTGCACACATCTCTGCTTGACATGTTTGATGGTGTCTGACTGTCTTCGGAACTGTTTTATAGAACTTGTCTGTCTCGCCTACATCGGACATGGTCCGCCACAACATGTGGCCCCACATTCTCAATAGTGGCACTTTTTGTGACCCCACTTTTTTCCAATTCCCTGAGTGCTCTTGAACCGTGTTTTACAGAACTTTGTCTGTCTCCGCCACGGACTGGCTCTCCCACAACATGTGTGCCGCCACATTTCAATCTGCACCCTTGCTGACCTGATCACTTTCTTCCAGTCCCTAGAAGTGCACGGGACCGTTTTACAGACTTTTGCCTGGCTCCGCCCACAACACTTCGTGCCCGCATATTTTCTCGCGATCGGCGGCCCCATTTTGCTCTTCCGCGGAAGTGCTTCATGGAACTATTTTCACAATTTACCGTCTTAAACTCCGCCACCTCGAAGACAGGTTCCGCCCCACATGTTTGTGCCCCCAATCCTCAATCAGCCAGTCTAGCTGACCTCGACCCTCTTTTTCCCGGTTTCTGGAGTGTTCTGGAACCGAGCTACAAACTTTTAAAAAGAGTATCCTGCGATTCAGAGCAAGCCCCCGCCCACTGTGAGGTGGGTCTCAACACACTTTGAGCCTGCCCAACACTCGCAAGATATTTAGATTTGTGCACTGAGCTTTTTGCGACTATAAAACACTCTCTGCGAACCGGCTGCTGATTTTTTAAATTAGAAGCACCGCACCATCTTTGAGCACCCCGCCCATTTTGGGGGTGCCTCTCACAGGTAGTCTGGCAACTCCTTGCTAACCTTATTAAACTTTTTCCCCATCTTCAGGCTGCTCCGGAAGCGAATTATGAACATTTCTCTGCGGAACCCCAAACTTTCAGCGAGTGCCCCGCCCACTGTGGGCGGGGCTTCCCATAGGTCAAGTGTGCTTTTTATTTCTTGTCCCATGCTCTACCCATCCCCACCTTGACCCGACCTCTCCAAGTCGTTCTTCAGGTCGAACCGAATTTCCGGACAGACAAACAAACTTACAAAAAAAAAAAAAAAAAAAAAAAAAAAAAAAAAAAAAAAAAAAAAAAAAAAAAAAAAAAAAAAAAAAAAAAAAAAAAAAAAAAAAAAAAAAAAAAAAAAAAAAAAAAAAAAAAAAAAAAAAAAAAAAAAAAAAAAAAAACAGACGAAGCGAATATATTATGGGCCTTGATTTATCGGATGGATACTCGTACCGAATCGTTTGTCTATGAGCTTTTCTGCCAACTGATAGCCTAAGGCTGGAATGTTGGCTCGAGTGTTAATGGTTCTCACTTAAATTCCTATTGGACTTATTATCAGGGAAATGCAAATTAAAATTTTGGACGAGTTGTCCCAATCAGAAGACAGTTTCCCAACATGTTTTGGCACGTCCGTGACAGAATGGTCGCTCCAAACGGCACACCCCGAACACTGCCTTAA